GCAGCCTATGAGTATCAGTATGTAACAGGCTGGTTACATAATTTTACATATATGCATACTGATATTTGTTTTATAGGGATTTTTTTGATGACAATACCTTGTGATAAAATTTTGGGTAGACAAATTAGAATGTAATAATTTAAAGAAAAGGCTTTAAGACACAAACTCTAACTTTTAGGTAAAGAATTACAAAATGTTTTTATGTTAGACTGCACAATTGAGTATTTTAAGCTGGACATTTTTATTATACTTTAGTTCTGTTTTAACAGATAATCAAAAATGTCAAAAGAAAACCCAACATCAGCAACAAACCCACCTCCAGATTTTATTCTAATTGTAATTTCTGTTGTTCCTCTCAGTAGAGAGGTCAGGAATTGAATGGATAAAAGAGAAAATTAATTCCTATCTCCTTCCAGACCATCTTTAGGCTTAGTTTGGGGAACAGTCTTACTTTTGTTATTCCTGTGAATAAAAACCTCCATATTTTGATGCCTGTCAGTCCAGCACAAAGCTTACACCTTTATTGAAAAGAAATGGAGAGGCACCAGTGGGAAGATTGTTGTTCTCCAGGACAAAATTGCTAACAATGTTGTCTTTGGTGCACTGTATTGTTATTGCAAGACAAGAATAGTGTTAAGACTGCTCTGCCAGCTTGTGAGCTTATGGATTCTCAGGTCAGAAATGTCTCCTGCAGAAAAGTGGCTGTGGTAAACCCTGCTGTAGTACAACTACCAGAGATTGATGGTACCAAGAGTGAGAGACATATAAACCTTGCCTTGCTGTATTAAACATCAAAGGACTGACAATGCAGAGAGAGAGAGGAGACCAAAGCTCTATAAACTTTACTTTATTACACTATCCATAGATGAACTGCACTGAAGGAATATAAACCCCATTACATTACAGCATCCAGGGACTGACACTGCTGAGAGAGAGAAAATGCTGTCTAATTTCTGTTGAAGATCATAGCATCCAGGGACCAATAATCCTGAAATGGAGAAAGAGAGAGTTCCATAATCTCTGACAGATTACAGCATCCAGGAACAATTGCATGGAGATAGAGTGATGGAGATGTGGATTTCACCATTCAGAGATGGATAGTACAGAGAAAAGGAGGTGCTGCAAGAGCATAATGCAGTAGGAATAGGAAGCATAGATTGTATGTAATGAGACAGCCTGTGGGAATTATTGCTGAGTTTAGAAGATTCCAGGCCCTGCCTATGCATTTCTACAATATCAGGAAATCAAGTTGGAATGTAGTTTTATTTCTTTTCCACTTAAATAGATAAATAAAATAAGCCTTACTCACTTTTGGTACAAGCACAAATCTAACTGAATTTCTTATGGTTAAAATATGTAAATTATACAATTGTTTAGGTTTCTTGGCTTTAAAAAAATACTGATTTATTTTTCCTCCTTTGTGATTTCAGCTAGAGAAATGACTCGAGGGAAATTCCTGAACATCCTAGAGAAACCCAAAAAGTAGCTGCTACATCTAGCGTTTGGATGAAAATACGCCAACTAGGTCATTTTATGTACTGCAGATACAGAGGAAGCCCAGAACTTTTAAGAAGAAAAAGCTCTTGCTCTAGACCTTCAGAAGCAAACATCTATTTTTGCTTCCACAGATCATCTCTTTATGGGGGAAAATGTACGGCATACACAGGTCACAAGGACTGCAGATGGTTGTGTTGGAATTTGGAACTTCATCTTACCATAGAATGTCCAACCTGACGTGCTGTGACAACTACCTGTTTTAATCAGCTGTTCAAAGTGACCGGCTAGTGTCCTTGTTCAGCTGCTCTCAGGGGCAGCCCCTGTTTTAAGTACACAGCAGATCTGACTCTGGCTGGTGTGCATCAGGAGGCATTGACTCTTTTGTGTGTCCTTTGTCTCAGATGCATTGATTTCCTGCGACTTCTGTGCTAAAGGATTTGAGCACAGTTCGGGGTGTGGATTGACCAATACTGGTTCAGCAGGAGCATATGATTTTAGTGTAGAAACCGAGCGCAGTCTCTGCTTTAGATTCCAGTTACTCACTGCCTTCAGAGAAGCATGTCTGGTACTCCGAGGCAGACCTTCAGTATGCCAGGAGCTTCATTTCCCTGCTAAACGGTTCTCTAGTGAAATTGAGACTGACAGACCACTGTGAGTAAGAGGTGTTACTGTGCCATAAAGGAAAATATCCTCACAGAAGCTTTGCCCAGTACACAAAGAAACAGCTGTGTCAGTCCACTGCAATTCTCTGCTTCTAACAGAGCCAGAAACTGGAAAGAGTTATAAAGTTGAAAGGTGATAATATTTTCAGTTAGCACTCTGAGAAGTGGCAACAGGATTTTTAGCCACATTGCAAGGATGGTCTGCCTATAGAGACTCTTAGCATTTCTTAAAAAAAAAACTTTTGTAGTATCTTTAATTACTTATATGCCAGCACCTCAAAATTTTCTTCTACAAAATCAGAATTTTTAAGGCAGAAATTTCTGTGACTTGATCCCTTTCAGCACACTGTTTTGGTATTTATTCATCTTACAGTTTAATGCCTTTTCCTCCTGTTCATGCGCTTTTACGTGTTTACCCCGTAGAAAAGGTAAAGAGCATGTTCAGACTTTTTAGTTTATTTAAGGGAATAATTTCTTTTGTTTCATTCTCTTTCCTTTTCCTAGAAAACAACATTTTAAGAGTTAGTAAATATGTTCTTTTTAGGATACAATATGATGTGGAAACACTGGGGGAAGAGCAGGGTTTTTTCTCTATTTAGAAATGTTATTTTTACCATGCAGGCTTTTCAAAATTTGTCATTTCTCAGTAGTCACATATGAGAAGAGAAATTACTTGGAAATAGTGCTTAGAGCATTGCATTTTTCTGGGTTTTCAGGGAGAGGAGGCTCTTTTCAGATGCATGTGCAATAAAGAGAGGGAGATTTTTAAATCAAATAGACTTCTCTGAGTTTTTACTAAATTGCTAATGACCCTTTGGTTTGCTGTCTGTGGTCTTGGTTATTGCCAGTCAGAACTGGGCTTGTTTTGGACAGCTCCTGTTACTAAGTTTTCCACATGCTGTAAAGACCCTGCACAAATACTGAATATTTAGGAATGTCAGAAGTCTGATTTTAAAGTTGACAGAGTCATTCCTGTACTTCACAGTTTATGCAGGGCTGAGCTAAAGACGAACTCCTTCCCTTCAGAATATGAAAGTTAAGTCAAATGAATGAGAAGCTGAAAGTGGTAGTTCAGAAACAGAAAAAAACTTGATGGTTCAAACTGATGTTGATGTAGCTTTAAGCATTGAATTATACATTTTGAATGCAAATTTAAATTTGTATACTATACATATATTTATGATGGCATAATGGGATACTTCATCTGTATCACCAGTATGAGTTTGTGCATTTTATAGAGGTTTGTTGGTCCGACACATTAATTGAGATCTGAAAGGAGAGTATATGGAAGCCTGTTGTCATAGAATCATAGAATCAGACGGGTTGGAAAGGAGCTCTGAGATCATCAAGTCCAACCCTTGATCCACTACCACCGTTATGAAAGTATATGTATATTTTCTGATATGTGCTGTAAGGAATTTCAAACTTTAGGTAGTTTTTAGTAATATATATATGTTTTTAAAAAATAAAAAGAAAGAAAAATCTCCTTTTACCATATGCAGTACTTGTCTTCTATAGGGCAGCCATTAACATATGCTTTAGAATTGTGATATTTCTTGGTTTTGTACTTGTCATCTGTAATGATTTTTTTTATTGGCATCAATAAATATTTGTCAATGTCCAAATTGTACTAAGGGTTTTCATACCCTTTTGAACCCTATTTTTTCCTTCAATTATATCCTTTCTGATATCCATGCAGTTATATATCTGTACAAGAAAATCTGTGTGACTTCTTGTTACTGGTAACCTTCTGTATTTTGAAACAAAAATTAAATTTTGATAAATGATGGGAATGAAAAGTGTAAAAAAAATCAAGATTTGGTCATATTAATTAAGCTAATGCATTGCTTTATAAACTATTTTCATGTATTGGTAAGTTAAATGCTACTCTGAGTTTCATGGAAGTTAACTCAATATGTATTTGGTTCCTTTTAAATGCCAGTGTTACATATATTCAGTTATAAAGGCTATTCACTTCAGTCTTGGACTGTCAAATGATTTGCTATCAGCTGGGCAAAACCACGACACTATCTAATCCAACTGAGAAGAATTTCTTGTTTGTTATATTAACCATTATCAAAATTAAAGTCTGTGTGCACTGGCAATTGAAAAACACGATACTCCATTTAACTCACTGGTTTGCCATTATGAAATTAACCATTTTGTAACAGTCCTATAACCCACAGTTCTCAACATTGCTTCATATTTATCTCAAGAAGTCACCTAGAAATGACAGATTACTGAAAACTGATTAATCCAGCTTGGAGGTAATGTTTGAACCTTATTCTGGTTTGTTTTACTGATTTTTATGTTACATAAAAATGTAAGGTGCTATTACAAGTCAAATCACAAGCCCGTCTTATCTGTAATCTTCTCTTTGCTTATAAACAGTTGTAGAAGGATAGGGAAGGATATAAACAAAGGGCTTACGCAGTGATTTTGCTTTAGGGTAACTTACACAGCATCCAGCAATCTGTTTTAGTTGAATCTGGTCCACAGTAGACCCTTCCTTCCATAAATTTGCCTTAGTCCTAATTTATCTATACTTCTGGCCTCAAAAGTGCCCTTGGATGATGAGTTCCATCATTAAGTTATACAAAGAAAAGTTAAAAACAAAAAAAGGGGAGGAAAGTAACTTCTTGTTTTAAACCTGCTTACCTGATAATTAATTCCATTTCAAATCTTTGATTTCTTTTATTGTCACACACAGATGTTTGGATTTTTTCTTCTTTGCTGTCTATGCACTATTCATGATTTTTCAGGTTCTGTTATGTTTTGGTTCCATGGTTATGTTCACCTTTCTCATGTTCACAATGTTCATTTGTCTGTCTTCTATTACAGCCGGAGCTGGCATAATCAAAACTGCAGAGTATTCAGAGTGCAAGCATACTGTGGAAGTGTGTAAGTCCTAATTACAGCTTGTATTTTACAGTTACTCTGCTGTTTTCTCCCACATCATCATGGGCTAAATCCTGTTTTGAGTATCTCTAAGAACAGGATCATCGGTTAGATTTGCAGTCTGTGTATGCAGCTAATCTTGTCCACTTCTTCACCCACAGTAACTTGTGCTGGGCAAACAACACTTTATCCAAATCATGATGACAGTGATGCCAGCCACTCCCCATGCTGATGAATTGACACCTGGCAATTCCATCATCAGCCTATGCAGTATGTAAAAAAGGTAAATTACATCTTTGTCATGTGGTCTGAAATCCTGGACTCCTGCCCTCCCACAAGTTCAGTAACCTTCCGTAAACATTTCTGTAATACTTCTAAACTAATAAAAAATTTTATATATACACAATCAAAATAAAAAGACAACTTGCAAATTACTATTGCAGAAAATCCACATTGATAAACAACAGAGATACGATCTTGACAGAGGCTTTTCAAGCATCCTCACCTTTACTCTGAGTTCTTACTAAGGAAGAACCTCAAGCAACAAGGGTACTTGTGATGGGGAAATCTGTCAATCTTTGAGCTATCTGAACATGGCAAACAAACTTAATATAGCGTGAAAATAATCCTCACTTCTTTAGTGTTGTACCCCCATCTTCGTATGCCACTGACACTTTTTAAGAAGTCATTGAATAATCAGACTTTAGGAGAAGATGATAATTCATTGAAAGACAATTTTGTAGAAAGTCATCTCTGTATCTTCAGCCCAGCAGAATTATAGTTGGACAGTAACTTCTCATGGACAATAACAAACTCTGAGCTGAATGAAAATGATTAGAAGAACAAATGAAAGTGTCATAGACACATTTCTGTAATCACTATAGCAAAAATTTCCCACTGCAGAAATACCAAAACCCATGTTTTCTATGTGCACATCCCAGTATATACATCAGCCAGAGTGCCAGATATGTCCAGAAGAGATTATATGTGTGATGCCAAATATCTCAGATAAGATATGGACCTCGATATTTTTAGAAGGCAAGACAAGAGGAAAAAAATTTAAAAAGAGAGAAAAAGAAAATCAAGGAAAAGGAATTGAAGAAGGCTGAACCCTTTTGCTTTTATGTAATGCTAGTATTCTTGGAATCAAAGTTATTCTAGAGACATGTTATCCCTGCAAGTCAATCCTTACATCAGTGCTTTGAATTTCTTTCAGGAGGATGTGAAATGCAAAATCTTGAAGTCAATTATTGTGGCCAATCATAAAATCCACATAAAGACAGTTAAAAGGTTAAGGGGCCAGAGAAGTATGGACCGATCCAGTTTCTGTAGAATGTAATCCATATTCCTCACAGAGAATGTGCAACAATGCCAGTTTTATTAATGTTGTGTTAGATTTTCAGCATGGCAGGATCTCTTCACATTTGACTTCATCATCCACTGAAACTGCCGATTTTTAGACTTGACCTTTTCTGTGGTGTCCTTTTGAGGGGGGTGACTGACTCCAGGCAGCTGATGGGTGTACAGAATAGGCGTTTTCTTGTTGGGTTTGTGTGGTTGACCTCTGGCCTGCCTGCTGATTCCTATAATACAGATCAGTGACCAGTGAAGCCAGAACAGTCCCTGCCTGTCTCTGTTATAGACACCTCAGTAAGGAACAGAAAAGAGGAAGAGGGCTGAGCTTGAAAGCCCTTACTTAATTGCTAGTAGAAAAAATGGGTAATAAGAATGACCTTGCACCTTATTTATTGACCAGATCTCTGGGAGGACAAAGTACTTGACTTGGTTCTGTATCACTTGAAAGGCTGGCTCTGTGGTCCATAGCTGATGAGTAGGCGTAATAATATAGGGTAATTAAATTTTGTGCTTGCAGGCACTTAGATGCCAGGGAGGATTTCCCTTCCAAAAATACCACACACATCTAACCACTTTCTTCATAATCACAGAATTCTAAAGCTAGTCCTGAAGTCTCAGAAATTCACCATTTGCCATCTTCCGTTTACTACAGTAGCCCAGAATGCAGCAAGCTGTGTATGAAAAGGTAGGAAGAGAGCTCATCAGCAACTTGAGAATGAGGGACAAGAGACCAGCAGAGCAATCCAAGTGGACACAGATGCTCAGGTTGCCTGGTTCTGTGGCCTTCAGTTTGTTCTCCTCTCTCTATATTAAAGTAACTTATTAGTTATGCTTAGTTTTAATTTTTATACATATATATATATATACACACTCCCAAATTGCCTTTCAGGGAAAGCATTGGCATCTATCTTCCTATTGTACTCTGCACGGATCAGCTTGTCACCCTGTCTTAGATTTCTCCCCACCTTTAGCACACTGAAGCCAAATAACATGTGTAAAACCAGCGGACAACTCACTTCTGCAGGGGCTCGTTGTGGGAAGAATCAGGGTGAGCCCTGATTTGCAGGAGGGATCAGTTTGTAATCAGATGCACAGGAGGCAAAGGGATCTGCAGGCCATGGCTATCCTTAACAGGATTAGCTGTGATATTTTGCTCAATATGAAATTGTAATCAAAAATTAGGGCAAATATTTTGCTGAAAAGTATTTGGTTGATGATGGTTTCTCAAGAAAGTGTCAGATTGAAAGTCAGAGGGACTATGCCTTCCTTTGCCTTGTTTTGATAAGAGAGCTTGAGCTGGGATGTCCTACCTCCCTCTCAACTCGTGTTTTCAATCCTTCTGTGGGCGTCTTTAAAAACCTGCCCTGTGAGACCCAGCACATGTTCCTTTCCACAAGAACTGTCAGGGTGTTGTTTACACGTGCTCGTTCCAGCCTGAACTCTGAGGCATTCCCTCACTGGAGAAAAGTGTATGCCAGGTGCTGCATTTCTCTAAGGGGAGTCCCCAGGAAGTCTTAGCAGAGACCTAAGGCAAATCTGTGCAGTCAGATGTTTGGTCAGATGATTTGATGGTGCATTTCTGCATGGAAGCGTGAGTACCTGTGTACCACCACTGGAGACGACACAGGAGAAGACAGGCCAAAGAGCTGAACTTGGGTTTCCACCACGCAGGGGGACAGTGGAGATGGAGTAAGGATGGAGAAGTTCCGCGTCCCCAGCACCATGTGGCTGCTGCCAAGCCACTGGCCCTGTGCCACGTAGCTGGGCCCCAGCGCCTGGACTGCTTTTCTGGCTGTTTCTCCCCGTCCCCCTTCTCCTCCCGGTGCCCGAGAGGCGGCTCCCTGTCCGTCTGTGGCGCAGGGAGCGCTGGCTGCCGCTCGTTAGAAGAATTCCCCCAAGTCAGACCTATGGTACGAGCCGTGTGAAGCGGAAGACAATTAGGGGCTTATTAGTGTCCTGGGGAGACGTGTAACTTGTGTTGCTGGGACTTACCAAAACAGCGAGAGTCTTACCGGCAAGCTCCAGCCGAGAAAAGACTGAGGGATTGTCTCACCTAATTATGGGGAATGGGCCTCTTTGTGTTTGTGATTCGGTACGGTTGTCCGATCGCTTTTCTCTGGCTGCTGGCTCAGGCCGAGCTGGAAGTGTGCTAATTAGAAGAGAAATGGACGTAGTGATCCTGTCAGCTCTCGTTACCGGCGTGGACAAAGCCGAATATTATTCTGAGGCAGTGTTTTGTGAGTGTCCCCCTTCCAGCTCTCATTAAGGGCAAGGTTGGTGGACAGGGAGGGGACTTGACCACATGGGTTGGCTAATGGAGCACAGTTACCGTTACTGTGCTAATTAACGGGCTCAGGAGGCAAATGTTTCTCCAACCAGCAGTCCCAGCAGCTGCACCTGGTGCTTCCAAAACCCAGCCATCTCACTGGGCAAGTAGGCAAACAAATGTGTGTACGAGCGGAAAAGGGGTTACCTGTGACACATCCATGCCATCCAGAAGTACAGAAGAACTATTAAAATGGTCAACAGAGAGACGGAAAGCGCATAGTGCTGCAGTAGCAGCAGGTCGAGCTTCAGCAGTCCCTTCTCCCTAAGTTACCCTTCATATAGAGGGCAATGTGTCAGCTGCTGCCCCTGGAAAGTGGGTAGCAGAGAGACTTGAGGAATTGCCAAGGTCTCCAGGTGCCATCAAGAAATACATCTCCTGTGAGTTGTTGTGTTCATCAAGAGGTCCTAGTGTGGCCAGGAAGGGGAAAGCTGGAAAGATGGAGGTGAATCAGACTATCCCTCTCTATGCTGATGATGGGATGCTTGTGGTCTGAGCTGGCAAGATGCATGTATATATCAGGACGTTTCTTTTGCTCCAAAAACCAGTTAGGCAACATTGAAATGATTCACATAGGCTAAGGCAGGTGAAGAGGATGACCAAAGGAGTCATAGGAAATGCTAAAAAAAAAAAAAAGTGCATTTACATGCCACTAGCCTAAAACTACTACAGTGAGAGTAGGGAGTGTGATGGCAGAAAGTGACCTACTACAGAAAGAACAGAGAGAGTCAGAAGACAAGACAGGAGCCAGAGCAGGTCTGTAGAGTCACAGTGGCTGAGATGAACTCAACAGAAGGCAAGAACAGTGTGTGCTGAGGAGGCTCAGTGGAAGTAAGTAGTTTTATTAACTTGTCACACAGACTGTCATTTTAACGCATAGGTGTTTTGTAAACAAACAGAGTAATTGCTAGTTGATGTCTCCAAAGTTATGCAAAATATTAGTTATTAAGTCTGATTTGGATGTTATGGTCATACTAAAGGTCTTTAATTAATGTCTATACATTAAACACAGTAAAACATAAAACTATGCCTTAAAGCTTTTAATTTGCTTTCTCTCTTTTAACAGTGTAGTCACTGCATGCACTTGTGCATGCTTGGGAATTGTTTTCAGTCATACTTGATCAAGGGTTAAAGTTACAAGAGGTTCCCTCTTTTGTTTCTTGGGTTATTTGTCCCTGGTGATGAAGCTGTTCCAGTAGGAGGGTTAGCTGTGTCTTCCCAAGGCTCCAGCAGCAGTCTCCTGTCATCATGGATGGAGCTTGAACTTTGCTCTGTGCTTTTGCCTCCTTATTTTTCCTGTTTCCCATAGCTGTGAACCCAGCAAGGATCCTTTCACTGTGGCAGCACATACACTGTCCTTACCCTGCAGTCCTGCAGAGCTGTAAAAGCCTTTCCCTTTTAACTGAGGTTCACTTCCTACTGGCTGCTGTGGTGACTTGAATCTTAGGAGTCTTGATGCGGAGACTGATCTCCAAAGAGGGCTTGAGAAGTATCTTCTCTGTAAAGAGGTTTATTCTAGAAGGAGGAGATATGTAATCCTCTTACTAAAACCCAAAGAGGAAAGGAGAAAAGGTTTATTGCTCCTGCCTTACCCCAGTGAGCTGGCAGCTTTTATGCTGCCTCACAAATAGAGAGGCAGAGAGAAACATCTTTGAACTCCACCTGACCTGAGGCTCTCCAGTAGATGTTCAGTGAAACCCATGTCTCCACTGCTTTCAAGTGTCCCAGCAGAACAGATCCATAACCCTAGTTTCTGAAAATGAAAAACTACTCCCTGTTATACCACATGGCCACTTACCTTGCCTTCCAGATGCTTCAGTTTTGGTCTAAGGAGAAATCTCAAATCAGTGACAGAAAATCAGACACCATCACACTCATTTCAGTTTTCGTGCTCTGTAAGTTCAGGAGTCGAGTGACCTCCCTGAGTAAGGGCTGGTGACATGTCAAGCCTCCCTCAAGAGACTGGACATCACTGGCAGATGCCAGGAGAAAAGTCTCCAAGAAGACACATCACTGGTTTTGCCAGTTTATCTCCTTTCTTTGCCTGAGGAAGTATTGGGGTCCTTGCTTGTTACACCTCTGTTTTACTGGCCTGTCATCTTGCTGTATTGATAATGTCATGCCAAATTTCTGACTTCCAAATATAGATAAGGATTGACTGAGTTGGTTTTATGTCCTTGTGAGGACATTTCTGATGAAGAATATTCTTCATACAGATTAGCAGCACTCAAAAACATTGTGAAGATGGGTGAAAAATATGCAGATGGAGGGAAAGGGTACAACGGTTCCTTTTGGCCTTCACTGAGACCTCCTGACATTCACATAATGCTTACTAATTGTACAGTACCTGGCCTGTGGGCTGGAGCGGTGTTTGGAGGACATCCCTTTAGCAGTTTGAGTTATCAAATGCACCACAGTAGTCATTTAAGTCATGGTGACCTCAGCACATATCAAAACTTTATTGTGCTGTCATTCACAGAAACACATAATTAGGTGAAGGTCTCTGTCCTCAAGAGGTTATATGCAGATGAAACAGTAAGAGACTGGGAGGAGAAAAGGAGATATCAAGATGTAAAGAGACTTGTTAGATGTTATCAGCACAGTTCAAACCCTGTTACTTCTTAGCCACAGTCAAGTGGCCCTTTCAGTGCTTGCCATCTGCCTTGTTGTTTCATTAAATAGATGTGGTTTTAAAAGTAAATAAATAAATAAAAATGAAAATGCCTAAGCAACTGGCAGGCATTAGGAATTTAAATAATAATAAATTACAGTGCAATACAGACATTTTAATCTTTTTTTTTAAGACCTGTAAAAAACTATTCTATTAATTTAATTTTTTAAGTCACTTTATGCAGTGTTAAAGATTGAGAATTTAAAACCGAGCACTAAAAATTAAGGTTTCTCAGTGCTGTTAACTGCTACAGTGTGCACAGTGTAAACATGCATTTAGGAGAGAGCAATGAGCATTACAGAGATCCTAATAATAATTATAACATCTTCACTGATGTATAACACTATTCTGACCTTGTGCACTCATGCAGAGAGGGTGTAAGTGCTACTTTCCAGATTTCATGTAATTCTGCAGTTGCTCCAGTCCAAATGTTTGTTGACAGAGCAGGGCAGGAAAAATAATTTTTCTAATTCTGCCATGTTGAAAACCTTGCTCTTGCTCTGATGCTCTGTGGGTCTGATCCTGCTTTAATAGAGAGTGTTATGAAAATGATCACTGCAGCTCTCTAGGGAGCTTAAAACTATTTGCTCTAGCAAAAGAGATAATTTTTTTTGTTCACTTCGATAGTTTGAAAACGGAGGAACTTGCTACACTAAATATTAGTGTACCCCATTTGTGTAATGCATCTGGGTAAGGTTTACAGGAGTTTCACTAGCAAGTTTTAAAATATTAGCAAGTTTTTTTTGTGGGAGACAACTGTGAAAATGGAGTGATAATGGAGGACTAAAAGAAAAATAGAGGTGAATGAGAAGAACTTAAAAATAGGGTTCTTAGAGGACAGGAGACCAAGAGAGATGACAAAGCAGTTTGGAAGACAGCAAGGCATGGGCAGGAGGTTGGAACAAATGCAAAGGAGTAAAGGAGGCAGATGGTTACAAATGCAATTGAAGAAGAAAAATTATGAAAAAAATCAAAACACAAAGGGAGCAAATAGGAATAGGTCGTGGGTTTCCGCAAGAAGGAGGTCAGAGAAGTAGAAGTTTCATAAGCAGTGGAACTAGAAAGGGAAGCAGGATGTTCCTTGTGGATGTGTCTCTCAAGACTGCATTGTGTGTGGATTCTCCGATGCCTCCCAGAGGTTGTGCTCGCACTTCATTAAGGGCAGTCACTGGATTTATTTCTTGGTCAGCCCGTTAATGTAACCAATGAACAGAAATGTATTGCCTACACTCTGGAAAGTTGTCTGGAATTGCCTAGAGCTTCAGAAGTCGTTGGTATACCCATGTACACCTGTGGATGGAAGCTAAGATTAGATTAGATAGTTAATAGCTGAAATTGCAAATGGACAGAGTGAGTGATAGAGAATGGGAAAACATTAGGAAAATGGGGATTTATATCTGCTATTAATGCATTTAATTTGCTTTACTGCCATTTCCTTTCCTGGTTTTACATTTTTTAAAAAATGAACAAGGATCTATTTAAAGCCCTCCTCCAAAATCAGGCTAACTTCACTGTGAGTGTCTGCACTGGTTGTTTCTGGGGAGAAGAATCTCGTAACTGCAGTTTTGTCTCCAGTACGTGACGAGAGAGACTCCGGGAGCTCCCCCACCAGCTACACCATCAAAACCTGCTTGGAACCTTACTGGAAGCGTATGTGGGAGACAGATACTGCAAAAAGCCTTCTGGTCTTTCCATATTGGGGTGAATTGCAGCTCTATTGCTCAAACGCTCCTGCTGTTTTTCTGCTGTCCTACACTGCAAATTCCCATCTCATTGGTTCCTGCTGCAGTGATTCTCATCTGGTGTTTTCTAGGGACCTCCTCCTGACTATACTGTACTTGTATTTTTGCTGGGATCCCATTTTATTTTCAGCTGGTCTATCCCACATGTCCTTCCGTATTTCACTCTCTTAATAAAATTTCCTGATTTCCAGGCAGAAGGTGTCATGTTAAGAGGTGTTAAATAGGGCAGAACTGACTGCTGATCTCTGGGAGACCTCTGCCTCCCACACAATACCTTTTTATGCATCACTATCCTTTATTTGTGGGTCTCCAGCCAATTTTTCATTCCATCTAGTGGTGTAGCCAAACCCATTTGCATTAATTTTGAGTAGGATTTATCAAATCTTTACTAAAATCCGAATGTATCAAATCCATCGTGTTCCCTTCATCCACTAATTTTGTAATTCTATTTTTAAAAGCAATCAGGTTTCTCCAGCACAATTTGTTCTTTAGAAATCCCTAGTGCTGATGCTTGTTTTCTGATCTCTAGGTGGTTAGTGATTTTTTTCCCATGTTTTAAATTCTGTTATTTTACTGGAAATAAATATTCCTGAGAGCTCCAAAATTCCGTTTTGTTTTTTTTTTAATTAATTTTATTTATTTATTTATTTATCTATTTATTTATTTATTTAAATGATCAATGATCAATTCCTTTTCTCTAATCTCTAGGCAGCTTCCTAGTTTTTGTAACTTAACAAAATTATTGTCCATGACAAAAAAAGTAACATTTGTCATTTTTCTTGTAGCAAGTGGGTAGTTGTCTCTTTGTCACGAGCCCCTGTCCTGAAAACTTGAGTGTACAGGCAGAGTGCTACATATTTGATGAGCCAAATGTACTGTCAGTGAAACAAATGTGTGGATATCATTGACTTTTTAAGTGAATGCATTCAGGCTTTTTGCCTGGTAATACCCATTCTGGTCAATTGTTATTGCCTACAGAAGTATCAGGAGGGCATTTGTACGTTTTTTTATTGTAATGTTCATAAAAGTCTTAAACTAAGATGAAATAAAAATAGCATCCAAATAAGGTACATACATTTTTGTATACATATGTAAGCTAAAGTATTATTGAGGGAAGCTAACAAAAAGAACACTCTCTTATGAGAGCAATAAATTAATTTAGTCTCAACATTGGATTGGAGATAGGTCATCAAACTAATGCCAAAACAATCAACCCCTATAAATTCTGAGAAGCTGTCCTGCTAAATTGCTTATAAATCCCAGCTTGGAGCTATACCAAAGTAAACAGTCTGTGCTTTGAAGCGGTGGGTGTCTGATGTCTTTTAACGTGTAGCACCTACACAACTTCAGAATACTTTTATTTAGGAAAAGGTATGGATAGATGCTCTGAATCAGCAGTCCCCATACTTCTTTCCTCAGATTCCCCCAGATCTGCAGGAGGTGCTGTCAGTGCATTAGTCAGAAGACAATGCACGGGCAAACCTCTTGCTACTTGTGCCTGACTTCTGCTGTTATATGGCAGATCACCCAATACTCCCATGCCAGTCCCACGTTTACCAAAGTGCCCTCTTTACTGGACTCGTGGTCCTCGCTTGGATGTACAGAGAGGTGGGTCCTAGGAAGGAGAAATTTGCTTGGTGTCTTACTCTTTTCAAGGTAACCAACTGCTCTCAGGGACTCCAGGAAGAGTAATCGTCCCATGACTTACTGATCTAAAAAGAGAAAGGTTTCTTTCTCTTTGCTTCTCGTGGTTCACACTGTCTTGCAGCATCTTCAAACAAAACAGCTATAAAGTCCCCTTTGGGACCCTTCAGTTTAACTCAAACAAGTTTGCAACGTATCAGCACTGCTGTGCGTGAACATAAATAGTCTCATGTAAGCTAAATGTTCGGAAATATTCTTTATTTTCTACAGCATAGAAAGTGATGGCTTTTGGTTCTCCTCTCACCTCAAAATGTTAAAATGCAGGACACATAAGAATAAGGTGGTTTGTTCTTATTTGGGTCAGTCAAATGTCTTGCAAAATTTCAGCATTTAATGGAAAATTTAATATAAAATTCCTACAGAAATAATAGGAAAAATACTACACAAAGGTCAGTCATTCAACATTTATTCATCTGCAAAATAAAAATGCATTTGGGCTAGTGATAAATTTCACAATTGCTATTTCTTCTGCTAACCTAAAATGAGATAAATGTTCTTATTTTTCTTGCAAACAAGATAATTACAGTAACCCTCTTACTCCTCAGCAAGGCAATCAGTCAGGCAGCTTCTCTTCTGAAACCCAGATACAGATAGAGAATTGTTGTTTAACAGCTCTACAAGGTGAAAGATGTTCAAAATTATATAAAAGGTCTGTGCACCTATGTACACTCTTCTGCTAATTGGCTTCTCAGGCGCATGAAGCTAAACGTGTATCAGTAATTTGTGCATCATGTAATGCATTTGGGTTGGAACTGTAGAACTTTGATCCCAAGGTCTCATTTAAGCCTAAAATAGGGGCTGTTTTTCTGGTGATTTGGAGTTATGTCACTTACATAGGCAGCACCTGAAAAATACCTTTATTTGAATGTCAGAACTGGAAAGTTGACCTGCTTGGTGTAACCATGGGATAAGGATATTTGTGGCAGTTCTTCAAGCTGTTTAGCAGGATCTTGACCTAAAATTCAACCTTTGGGAGATTTGTGAGAGTTGTCATCCAGCCTCTGCAGCGTAGGTGCCAATATACAGATGTAAAAACATGGGCATATATTCATACGCAGTGGTTATGACAGGATTTTAAAGCAACATTTCATCAACCTGCTGTTGTTGGCATCATAATGCCTTGAGTTACTTCACACAGACTCTGTGTATGTGGAACAAAATTACTTCTGGAGCCAGACTCAATAGAAAGAGCTTATTCTTGGTGGCCACTCGCTCTTTGTGTTCCAGAAGAAATTCTTAGGTAAGAAAAAGAGCTGGAAGTATTTCAGAAAATTCAGACCTAAGAAGCTCTCCCTCTGGCCATTCATTGTATTATCTCATGCTGCAGAGGTACCCAGATTAAATGGAGACACTGGAGAAGCAGCAGGTCGCTCTTTTAAGTCGCTGATTACAGTTAGTGTTGTGGACAGGTTCAGACAAAGCTTCAGCTGCAAATGCACTATGAGGTAGGCATTGTGGCTGGACACATGGTTTGGGGATGTTGGTGCTGAACAATGGCTTATATCTGCCAAATTGGAGAAGAACAGCTGAAGAGTCGAGAAAATCTTAGCGGTTTAGATCTAACGCTCTTCCTCCTGAAATGGCCTGAGCTCTGTCCAAAGAAGAAAGCAATGGAAAGGGCATTGCAGAAGCAACAAAGCCATGTCGTCAGTCCACATCTTAGCACAGTTTTCATCCACAAATAACAAGTGGCTGCTTCACATGATGGCTGATGCAGCATTTTAAACTGGCACAGGCATCAGCAACTGCATGCTTGCCACTGCTTAGGTAATGGTGAGAAGTGGGAATATCTTACCCTCTTCCTTGAAATCATTAAACTTTCTTAAACACTGCAAACTGCTAGAAGTTGAGATTGCTTTCCAAAGTTGTGTCCCTCAGATAAATGATTTGCTGAGACCTCCACCTCTTTTTTTTGGATTCCCAAGAGCCAGAGTATTCCAAAGGTGAAAATTCTGTGATAAAAAGCAAATTAAATTCAAACAGGTTACCCTGTCATTGATCACAGCAATAATTTTCATCCTGCTTACATATTTAGAAAGCTTGTGTGTAGTTTGTGTAGGGATTACTTGCATTTCTACTACTATAAAACAGACTACTGGTATTACACACTTCTCTTTGAGTACTGGAATCTTTTCCAATTTTTTTATTCTGCAGCCTCCACAGACTTTTAGTACAAAAAGGAGTTGGCCTAAATTTAATGAAATTCTGGATGTTCCAGAGACCTGTATTCAAATACCAATAGCTTGTCATGAACATATACCAATAACCAGTCTTCCTGGCTGAAGTGACGTCAGCCTAAATCAAAATATACTGTTATAGAGTGGATTTCTCTGAGGAAGCACCTCTCAAATAAATGATCCTGTGCTATCCTGATCCACAGATCAGTATGACAATCCTAGGGAGGCTACTTACCACTCCCTTAAGGATCATATCTGTTGTTGCCTACCCAGAGCTTTACAGCTGTGTGAAATTTCCTGCTACTAGAACTAACCCCCTAAGCCCAGACTTCATTACAGACAGAAGGAGCTATTGACTCAGGTACCATACAATCATGAAGGCTGGAAAAGACCTCTAAGTTCCAGTCCAACCATTAAGGTTAATACTGCCAGGTCTACCACCATATCCCTAAGCACCACATCTACATCATTTTGGAACACATCCAGGAATGGTGAGTGGGGCTTCTGGCTTCCAGAGATTTCAGGCAAATATTCGGTGTCAAAAAGGAAGTTTTCCTAAAGCTTAGACTTTGGAAGAATCATGGTCTCCATGAAACATTCCTTCTTCTGAAAGGCACCCAGTGTCACAGTGTGGCACTTGGTGGCTGAGGCTTTCTATAGCAAGAGAGAGCTCTAAGGTTTAGTGAGTTAAAACACATAGGATGCACTTTTCCTATCTGCATCTACCTCAGACATCCTGTTAAATGTGTGTAGCCACTAAATATACTTCAGTCCAAGTGCTCCATCTATAAGCTAATGATAACATTAGATGAGCTCACAGAGAATGTATATAGTTAAATGTATCCCTGTTTATGAGATTCTCAGGCACTCTTGAGGAAAGTGTCAACACAAGAAAGAGGAAGAAATTCACAGCTAGGTAGCCCAGTGCTATACCTAATGCTTAATACCATCATACCAATGTACAGTCTTTTTGTATTTACACTAGAAAGCAACAGCCTTGCAATAGTCAAGATGAGAAATGGCCAAGGTTTAGCCAATTTCAACAATGGATTTAGAGAGAAAAACAGGGCATTACCTGTCTGGGCTCCTCCAAATAACTCCTCTCCCAGTTTCTAAATGATAAATGCCACTATAAAAATTGTTGGGGTGTTCTCCTCTCAAATGCAACTTAAATTATGGACACCCTCTCCTGAAAGAGACAGACACAGGAGAGGTTCTGAGCAAGTGAGCAAAATTTATTCGTCACAGGGGTCCATTTGGCCTCCATACCATGAATCATCACCCAGTCTGGGTGTGTTTAGGTAGAAAGAGGGAACAACAAATGGGAGAAGGGTATTAAATAATGATTGCCATGGAGACTAGGCAGCTTTACCCAACTCCATGAAATGTAAACGAGAGCTTAAAAAAATGAAACCCCAGTACATTTCAAAGGGATAAAGGGCAGTGTATAAGTTAGCTGTGGAATGCAATAGCAGGATATAAAAGCAAGTTGTTTAGTCAGGTTTCTAAAAGCCACTATCAGCAATATGCAGATGAGACACCTGTATTTTTCATCCCTTCTAATCACATCAAGAATGTGAGGATGGCACAGCACTTTCAGAAGAGCCAGAGGCAGAAGTAAGGCCAAAATAAGGCAGTTAGAGATGATGTCAGTGGGTGAAGGCAAATGTTCGAGAAGGTTCCAGTTGCAATGAAGCTTCCCCTG